TAGCAGCAGTGGTGCTATATAGTGAGAAAATGACAAAGAAAACTAAGTTGCCAAAACCTGCGAAAACACCTTTGTTCTGCACGGCATGAGCATTTTCGGACGAGTTTTCCGTTGGCATCGTGCCAACGACCACTTTAATAGATACGGTTGCACGCATTCATACATCCATGTAAGTAGCAACCCTTTATATCAGCTGTATTCCATAAATGGAGCTGTAAGAGCGCCAGCGTCGACGGGCACTGTACGGCCAGTTGTGGGTGGGCGGGAGCGGTTGGCTTTCGGGTAGGTGTGTTGCAGCCTGTTAGGGAGGGCGTTATATGCGTTCATTTGTTAGGAAAGGCCTTGCAGCGCCTGCGAGGGCGCTAAATCCTGCCTTACTCGGCGTATTATTCCTATACATGTGGATTTATCATGCCACTTGCCTTTAACTGGTTCTAGCACAGTCTTCGAAGACCCACCAGGTCTTCCATACCTCTGTCTGGGGTCGTTCAGTGGATACCTGTTTTTATCTGAGATGTTTAAAACCCTGAATTCTACATTTACTCTCCCCAAACTTCATAGCACGTAAAATACTCACAAAACCATCTCGTTTTTGAAAGAGAGTGGAAAGCGTGGCGCATCTTATAGGGCCCAATCAAAGCCTCATTAAAGGTTCAAAATAATGACGAAATTTCACTTCCACTGTCATTGTTCCAATATCGCTTAGGTGACTCTTTTCAATCAGGCTGATCGAAGCAATGTGCCGAGCTGATAACAGGCAGTATAGCGCTTTCGTCAACCCCTGGGCAACGTCTCCTCGCGAAATGCATCTGATCGAATCTCCAGTGAGTACGATTTTTTTTCTAGAAATTTGCCAGGTGTTTTTTCAGAACTAATTCTTTTTTATCAACGCATTTTCGATGCAAGAAAAAAACACTGTCTATTTTTTTGGGCAGGAAACGACCTATTAGGTTTTCTCATACTATAGCGTTTTTTTCCTAATCAAAATTCTGCGCTACTAGTAAAGGGCTCGACAGTGCTATTTATATTTCTTATAAATTTCGTGATTTTTATAAAAATTCAAATTTCATTAAATTTTGAGTCTTCAACTTAGATGCCCCGATAGCGAAAATAAGCATTTCTGACAGCATATTTCAGGATTAAGCAAAGAGCAAAAACCTGAAGCCTTTTTCAATAGCGCCTTTTTTAATGAGGACCATGAAATCCGCGGAGGAGGGACTGCATGCGGAACCTATGAGCAGGGATCTTTTGGATCTTTGCCATCGACTGGAGACGATCCTCAGCTAAGCATCCCGTAGTCTCTGGAACTTCACTCATCATTTATTATGGATATTTCGGAATAAGCTGAATACATAGTTCGTTTCGCTCCCTCCTCAGATGAAGTAGCTATTTCGTCAACGCCGGGGCTCATCAGTGATCGAGTGTCGAATGGACGATCTTCGTGGTCTAAAGAGTGGTTATGCGCAAGCCGGAAGACATGCCTTGAAGGTATGCAGTCATATGAGTCCTAAACGTGACTCATATGACTGCATACCTTCAAAAGACTAGCCCGAAGTACGGTCGATCTTTGGTTCCGCTCAGTTTTCGAAACCGTGGATGTCAAAACCAGCTTTGATTGAGAGCGGCCTGACCAGCTAGGGTCAATTGAAGTCATTTTTCAGTCCGATTTTTGAACAATTTGTCGAGACATTTGTTTTTTTCTTTGGTAGACAGTAAAGTAGTCCATCCTCAGAGGCTTCCACTGGTTGGCGAACTCACAGTGCATACCATGGTTTACAACACACGCGCCTTGCTCAAGCACTAATGGAAGCAATGTTGTTTGGGGAGATTTTTTCGGTAGGCCATTTCAGCAGGCCTAGTCAGCCGGTGTCTTTGGAGCCTAGCATTTCTCAAGAAATCTCCTTCACTAGTGTACATCACGTGCGAAGCTTGAAAACACAGAAATTAGAATCAGGTATACCGTATTTCGAACCAACATATGAAAGAATCGCCAGCCTCTCGAGCTTGAAGTCCTTTTCTCTCGCCGGGGGTCCGGCTGAAAACGTTTTCGCCATACGGGTAAGTTGTCGGCAGGCACCATATTTCATGTTTACCTAGCTCTCTGGAGTACCCATTAAACGCACTCACTGCCTTTCATAAGGAGAATATGAGTTGATGAGCTGATCAAGCTACACAAGTTCATATTTTTCTGAAAAGCTAAAAATTCTAGGCTATATACTGTTTTTTTTGTATTTTTTAGCTATCGTTTGCTCCTATTAATAATGGATATTTTTGATAATTTAGTGTATTGGAGTACACCTTGAGTGTGCGGAAGCTGTAAAGCGAATAGAAGTGAAATGATGTAAATAAAGAGAAACTTCAGGTGATCCCATGCACAACACCTATCTATGGCGGCTTCAATCATGATGCTGTTGTCGACATTCACGGCCAAGTTATGCAAGGGCCACAAAAGTAAGAAAATAGCAGTAATTTTTCATTCACAGCATTCATTAGATCATACTTGTTTCCTTAAGTGAAACTCTCATAGCCGGGCAAATATCGACCAAGTTAGAAGTTGAGAGCTCATGCCATAAGATTGCTCAAGTTACGATTGTCAAGCTGACGTGGTGCCCTTATCAGCAATTTCCCGCAGTATCTCTCCGGCTAATGAGCATTCTTTTTTCATGGCGAAATCGAATGTGACTGGATGACTCTTCTTATGACGTCATTTATTGCGAAAAGAGCTTTTCTTCTTGAAGTTGTGAAGATTAAAGCCAACAACCATTCTTCTTAAAGTACAGTATTACTATGGGGCTGCAATCGTTGCTACTCCCATGAGATTCCGTCGCAAGATTTTAGTCAGAACACACCTTGCAGTTCCATGCTGCATAAAATTAAGTACAATAAAAGAACGAAATGACAGCTACAGTTGTGCGGGCTCCCGCTCAACGTAAAGAAATGGAAGAGTTGGTGGGAGACTTTGTCCCTGCAAACGACAGGGCGTGTGATGGGGCGTCGATTGGAGCGCTGTCAAGACGGTCTTCCCATCGGTGTGCCGTCACGAGTCCGCAACGAAAGGCGGGGTGGCGGTCCTGTTGCGAAACCATGTAACACCGACAAATAAAGGACAGCGGCTGCGAAGTGCACCGAAATGTGCAAGAAATAAGCAGCGAGCTTTGGTTCGAGCTTTTCAAGGGGAGGGCACTTCGGGGTGGGTGAGCCACTTACCGTGTGTGAAAAACTGGAATCTATGAGGTCATAATGACCACAGAATGCAACAGGGACGAGTGAGTGCAGAGAATAAGCAGCTGATCAACGCATTCAAAGGGATTAAGTTAAAGTTGTCCGTGGACTGCGGGGGTCGCTCCAGTTCAAGCCCTTTCCTATCGTTTGCGCTGGTCGCGACTATATGTCCCAATATGAAACGTGCTCTTCTCGTCTGCGATGTGTCGTGATATGCCATACCACGGCATGTTGCACAATGCGATGCGAGAGAGGTCCCTACCATTAAAGGTAACAGTTTGCTATCATTGTACTAGATCTGTATGCAGACTGCAACCCCGTAGCGCCAAAATTACTGTTTTGGAGAGCGACGCAGGACAGGGAACATTCTAACGATGGAATAACTTCAAACCGCGTGGCGATTCTATGGCGAGGCAGTGGGAAACAATAGAGACTTCGCAACGCAAGAATAGCTGCTACCGTATCCGACGCTTAGTTTGGTTTCCCAAACTCCTTTCAGTTGCTGCATGACACCGCTTCCAGCACTGCCTGCGTGATGTGCGTTTCACCATGCTGACTCACCTCAGAGCAAAAGAGTGGAGGGGATCCTGCAATCGCCGAGGTACGGTAGAGGCCATGCACCGGGCCGCATGAAGAGATATGGTTATGTCCAAGCACCGACGATTCATGGAGCTCCAGAAACTTTGGTGTGGACGACAGGAGAGATGTCTGACCTTTCGCGCAACGGCCACCCTTCGTTTTGGCTACATAGACCTGCACTTCAAAACTGGAGGATAACGTCAAATGTCTACTCACAAAGTCTGGACTATCGCCAAACTTACCAGTGAGACCGACATTTCCGCTGCAATCATCGGCCGAGTTGCGCAAGAGAAACTGAAGATGGTTCAGCGGGTATGCGTTCGGGTGCCTCGTTTTCTTGGAGAAGCACAAATCCAGAACCGATATGAAGTGGGAGCAGCCCTCTCTTTCAGTTCACAATTGAGAATAGGGGGCCCTGACCCTAAACGAAGTATGGGGAAAAAGCTTGCACTCTGAGTTAAAACGCGCAATCGCTAACTTCCGATGAATGCAGATGAAAAGCCACCCGAAGTTTGTCATGAGGAGTTCATTATCCAAGTGGGTAGTAATGAAGGAGATGAATTTCTGCGGTGTTGCTTTTAGATGGTCTAATGCCTTTTAGCTGATACAGATTCTTACTTAGAACCATGCAAAGTGTATCATTTCAACGAATTTTTTATTATTTTTATTGTTTGAAGCGGGTTCGTCATCGAATTCCCATCTCGCGCCGGTGTCGCCTTGCATATGTCAGTACGTATGGGAATGCATGGAGGAGAACACTGCATCGTTCTGAACAACATGAGGAATGGAGCGTAAGTGACCGGTCCGCTTCACATTCACCGAACAAGGATATTCTCCTGAAACTGATTGTTTTAGATGGCAGATCGAAGAACGCCATGCGAATGCGTTTCATTTCGGACAACACTTCCATCTTCAGATAAAATGCCATCAGAGCCACTACACGGTACTTGCTCATTCTGTCATGTATATATTCATGCTCTCAAGTTTGCTGAGAGGTGAAGTTCACAGTAATTACCACGAGCGGGTTCGGGAAACTTTCTGAGACTTGCCATTAAATCCTTGCCCCGGAGAAGCCCAGAGCCCCCGGGGGTGTCGGTCATACGCTACCACCCGGCTCGTCGCTCAATTTTTTTACTAGACTTTTTTGAGTGGGTGAACAAAAGCATGTAGTTGTAAAAGTGGTCAAAAGTCGCAGTTCAACTACGATTCCGGTCAGAAGAAAATTGCGTGCAGGGGTTATCAAAAGAGAGTGGTGTTCAGCTTGGAGGGGGGGGGGGAGCGGCATTTTGCACATTTAGAGGTTCCTTTTACTACTAGATGTTCAATGACAAGTCTAGTTTCGGTAGAACTTGTGAACCTTTCTGAGGCTGCGGAATGGTGCAAAGCCGGCAGTCTTTTTACAAGATGACCTGTGTAGGTTTCGCTAAGTACCATTTGAAGCCCCACCAAGCTGTACTGCGCCGAAAGGAGCTTGAAAAACTCCTCGTTGCGTTGCTTTCTTTGTTGCTAAACTCCACTACAGATTTGCCCAATTG